TTTTTTTAGATAGTATATATATATATATATATAGGAGAGAGAGAGAGAGAGAGAGAGAGAGAGAGAGAATGAATCTTGAAATGTATAGAATGAAGACATCCACTAACAAATGAAATCTTGAGTGAGAACAAAGCTGGTGGCATCACACTCCCTGACTACAATTTATTATAAAGAGAAAACAAGCAAACAGTGTGTTATTAAAGAAATACAGACCCATAGATCAATAGAACAAAACAAAAAACACAGAAATAACACCCAGCACATACTTTCAAGTAATCTGTGACAAAGCTGCAAGACACAGAAGAAGGGAAAGATAGTTTCTTCAATGAATGGTGCTGGTAAAAATCAACATTCACATGCAAAACAACAAAACTGGACACCACTGATAAAATTTAACTCAACCTGCAGGACAGAATTAAATGTCAATGCTACAGCCCTAACGGGTTTGACTCAGTGGATAGAGCGTCAGCCTGCGGACAGAAGGGTCCCAGGTTCGATTCTGGTCAAGGGCATGTACCTTGGTTGCGGGCACATCCCCAGTAGGAGGTGTGCAGGAGGCAGCTGACCAATGTTTCTCTGTCATTGATGTTTCTAACTCTCTGTCCCTCTACCTTCCTCTCTGTAAAAAATCAGTAAAATATATTTTGTTAAAATAAAAAGTCAGCGCAACTTAAAAGTCCTTCAAGAGAACCTAGAGAAAAAGTTTTGGAGATTTGTTTTAGACAGGATTTCCTGAATGTGACACCAACTCACCAGAAAAAATAGAGAAAACAAACATTCCAGACTGCAAAAAATAAAGAAAAAGCTTCTTTATTGCACAACAGCAATAAACAAAATGAAATGAAAGGCAACCTAGAGGGTTGGAGAAAATACTAGCAAATCATATGAAGGAATCATTTGCAGAGGTTGTGGATTCAGTTCTGATCAGCACAATAAAGAGAATATTGAGATATAGATAGAAATTCACACAAATAGTTGAAGTTCCCCAGGAATAATAAAGGTATGTTAACACTATACTGCAGGCTAATAACAATGCAATAACTCTGTCTCAAAACAAATTCGATATAACTTCATTAAAAATAGTTTATTGCAAAGCACTAGTAACAAGCATCTGAGCGTGCTAGAAACATGGTGGCACTAGACTTGCTGAATGAAGGGTTGCCAAACACATGGACTTTGTAGAAAAACGAGTGTGGGGAGCAATATCTGCAAAGCACAACTAAGCACATGCAAAAATATGTGTTCCTGTATGTAGTAAGCAATTAATATATAAAATATACAAGGTAGTTAGAAGACTCTTTAACCAAAAAATAGTTAATAAACACGATAAGGATGTAGAGACAATTCTCCAAAAAATATGTACAAATGACCAACAGGAATATAGAAAATGCTTTCCTCACTGATCAAGGTGGAATCCCTGAGGCTTCCTGTAACACAACCAACCACAAGTCCTTCCCTGTGAGTTTAGTACAGCGGGGACTATTGGGACTTCAGGAATGAAGGGAGCAGCAGAAACAGACCAACCCTCCCCAGGAGAGCAACTACCCAGAAAAGTGGAAAAATCAAGCAGTACCACAGTCTACATGGGAGGACAAACACACCCTGGGAGATGGGGCCTGGGAAATGGCAAAGCCAAGTCCAGGTCACTGGTGAAAGTGAGGGTCTTACCCAGGGAGGATGTAAGTTCAAAGTTCTCCAGCATCACATTCAGGTACAGCTGTCTCTGACCCTCATCAAGGAGGCTCCATTCCTCCCTGGAGAAGAACAGGGCAATGTCCTCAAAGGTCACGCCAACCTGTCAGAATG